GCATATGAGAACCAGGTTTAACTGTCCCACAAGTGGCTACTGGTAACAAGCCATTTCTAAGTTCCAAAAACTCCCACTTTTAAAATGAGGCTAAGTGCGAAACCTTTCTCATGAAAATGAGATTTATTTACAGGATACTAAAAAATCATTTTCATATAAACAGCTTTGCACTTATCCTTGCTTTGAAACAGAGGCTTGAGGCAACTAAAACGGAAACGGCCTAATCCACAACTGCAATGAACCTATTATATAAAGTTACAACTATCCCTACTTTTTAGAACTCTGCTGAAGCTTCATCTCTAGCTGAGCAATTTTCATGTCTTTTTCTAAGAGTAAAGCTTGCTGCTTTTCAATCTTATGCTGTAGAGAGCTTCTTTCATCTTGTAGTTCTGAAACCATCTTCCCATAGTACTTCTTGCACATGTCCAACATGGTCCTGTAACTTTCTGAATCCATTTCCTCCAATTCACCTGCTTGATCATCACTCTGTTCACAAGCAAGCTGTTTCAAGTTAAACCTCCTTTGTTCTTCATTAAGTCGAATTTCTTCTAGATCGAATATCAGAGTTTGTGTCATGGATTCCACAGTTCCTTTCAACGCTTCATTTTCTTCTTTTAATTTCTCTAGTTTAGAATCATCATCCTCGTTATTGCTAGAGTTTTCACTTAAGCTGTCCTCATTACTAGCTGCTACAAGGAAATTTTCGCCACCTTTCTGCTTCGCCTGAAGTTCGTTGGCCAATTGTAACGCCTTGTCTCTTTCGCTCTCCAAAGTCCTGATTTGTTCCAATAAAGTCATTATTAAAGACTCGCTGCTTGAATATGCCATGCCGTTTGTATTTTGCTTTCAAAGACGACGCCCATATAAAATTTAATAAAATGTAAACGTTCTGCTTCTAAATTAAAGAGAAATAAAGTGCTGAAGGCCAACAGGAAATGAACATGCCAGTTCAGTTGAACAACTTCCAAAAGATTTTAGTTTCGAAGGTTGTTTCCAGCGTCAGATCCCACACGCGTCGAAACTTAGAATCACTTCAAGCTAATTGTTTTCATAAACTTTGGCCAAATTACATGTCCAAATGCATGGCCCCTCAGGCAGCCATCTTTGAAAGAGACTCACATTGCATTGTGGGCCATATTCAGTCAGCGGTAACTGCTGATTTCGAGAAAGAAGATGGAAAATTAACATATATTAGGGAAAAATACATGATATTTATCGTAACCCAGCTATGTTCGATAAGTTTAGAGACCGCTTGCAGACCGTACAACATGATCTGAGCAAAGGGTAAGGAAAATTTTTTTCAATAACTGTGTTCAGTCTTTCAAGTCCATGTTTAGGTGGTCGTTCATCAGCAGTTTAACTTTAGCTAGTAGCTTAATACACTGTGTAATGGTGTTTTGTTTTATTATCTTCAACAACGTAAGAGATCGTTGTTCTTTGTCCATGCAGGTGGAAGTCAATTGCTGACAAAGCTAAAGCTGTCAACAAGAAAATAGTTCGGTGAGTTAAAAAAAAGTAAATATTTAACAACCCCTGTTTTGTTAAGAATTAGAAAATGATAGAAGAGTAGGTCGTGCTTCTTTTTTTTGGTAGAATGTCAGCTTAATTTGTTCTAAATGACTTTATCAAACCTTATTTTCTTTGATTCTGATAGGAAAACAACATTTATCACAGATGAAATAATTGAAAGGTGTGTATACAAAGTCAGAATATCAATGCAGCTGTGTGCATGATTCCAATGTAAATCATAAGACAGAACCCGTGGGTGGGGGTTACTGGGCCAAGGGGAGGGGGTTACTCTTTTGTATAAGCTAGGTAGTCGCAGTGCCAAAAGGTGTGGTTTTTCTTATAATTCTTTGGGTTTAAAATTGAGTGTAGATTTTAGAGTTTAGGTCTGGAACCAGCCTCTGGGATTACGTATGTTTTCAATATTTTGTCTTTTCAGAATGGCAAGTCAGTTCCAGACTTGGCTTGACTTTTCTTAAATGTTATTTCTTTTCAGTGGTGATCAGTGCTTTAGTTGTAATCTTGAGGCAGGCTCTGAAATCCTGAGCAAGTAAGGATGACACTGATTGAATTCCCACTTAATAGATCTACATTCTTATATATAATATCATGTAGAATAGCAAAATTCCAGGTATCATTGTTAGCCTGAGAAAACAGCTGAAATTTGTGACGCCACTGGTTTCTCTGTTTAATGATGTCCTATAAACAAAGACAATTGAAAATTAAACGAGACTTACGTGGAAGTTGAAGGTTGATTTGGATTCTATGAGTCATCAACTGGGAGTGTAGAAGTTGTTAGCCCTGCTAGGAGACAAACTAAAGGAAAATTATTGCGAATCAACTGAGGTCAAAAAATTTTAACCTAAATTTAATTTTGACCGGTAACATATACCCATGTCAACTGGTTTGCCTCGGGCCAGTATGGATTCTTAACCCTGGTAAGTTTGACTTGAATTATTTGTTTCAGACATTTGCTCGGCCCCACTAGCATTAGTGCTACAAATACTGCCGAGGGTTAATAACAGAGCTGTTATTATTATTATTATTATTATTATTATTATTATTATTATTATTATTATTATTATTATTATTGTTATCATGATGTCTATTTTTGGGTTGACAAACACAGTGCATTGCAACATTTCTTGTCAGTAATCTGTACTGGTAATCTTAAAGAGGGCATAACAATGGCTTAGCGCTTCTAATTTTCCCCCAATATAAATGTAGTAATGTTCACTTTATTGTGTCTGTAGGTATCAAAAGGAGTGGGCTGAGCTTCATGCAACATCCAGAGAATGTGCGACAAGAGCTCAGGTTTATAAAATTATATAATTCAGGAATAAACAGTGTATTAATTTACATTCAGTACTATGTGTCCTGTATAAGTTTCTGTGTGGAATAAATTCCGCTTATGACACAAAATTTGATTTTGTCTGTTGCCATGTACAGTTATTTGTGTATTGCTCTTTTAATCATGTGTGAGGTGGCAATTTCTAACTCTTTAATATGTGTCATCTTAAATACAAATGTAGCAGAAATTGATTGTTCATTTCAGGTACAAAATCCAACAATTTCCTAGAATGGCATGAAAACATTGTAAGGCTGAATAGTGGGTATTAGGTGTGCATTAAGTTACCATGTCTGGTCATTGTTTTTCCCTCTTTTCAATATATAATGTCCTTTTTTTGTTTTTGTTGTTCTAGAATGCAGACCAGGTTATTTTAGAGTTTTCCAAGAAATGTACTGAACTTGATACCTCCATGACAGTATTTCACAATGAGCTGAGTCTCTTGCCAGAAGTTATAAAGAACATTGAAACAGCCAAGGCTGATATAGGTTAGAGTAGCCATTCTAGTGACCAACATCTTATACTTGATACTAATAATAATGCGTAAGGTGATGAGAATATTATTTAAGGATGTAATAATCACCACTTGAAAGATGGACTGTTGATTTGTGAACAAATAAAATTCTCACCATCACATACAGAAAAAATTTTTTTCGACTATGTGGAGAATATTCAAGTTGATATTTGTCAAGAGGCTTAGAAAAGGTAGCTAAAATTAGAGAGCCTTGAACATCCAAAACGGCAAATTCACAAATATGATTCTAGTTAAATTTCCACTGTCTTAAAGGGACCTGCCACCCAAGGATGGCAGCTATTTGAAGTTTCTATTCATTTTAATAGTTAGTAAAGTCAGCCTCACTAACCTTAACTTGATCAAAGTTCGAAAGAATTCAAAATATCTAGAGTCACATTTGTGAGGCTGACTCATATATTTAAGAAAAGAACATCAAACTAGCAGTTTGGGTCTTTATAGATGCCCTGTACCTTTCACAAAAGGACCCAGCACAGCAAAACCAGAAACAGATATTGAAAGCCTGAAAAACTAATTTTCATTTTGGTGAACCACTCACTAAAACCAAAAAGCTAACCTAAAATTAGTGAAAGTAGTGGTGCCCAAATCTCTTATGCTCCCCCGGTTAGGCATTAGTAAATACAGAGTTGTACCTTCTGTAACTAATTAGCTGTTATATTTTAGACGCCATTGGAGGCCAGATAGAGGTTTTAGATAACTTGATGGTTGACTTAGAAGAAGTTTGTGAGCTGCTGGACTTGGAAAGAAGAAAAGCCGCCCAGGAACGCAAACTTTCCATGCTAAGACACAACAGGGAGTGAGTTGTTTCTTTTTTTTCCCCCTAAAGTGAATCTTATACAGTAGTACATCATGTTTACATAGTGTAGAATGAAAGAGTTGAAGTAGTTGAAGTAGTTGAAGTGCTTTTTGTAGCTAATTCTCGTCGTGTAGCTTGCATCAAAAGAAGTTTGGATAGCTGTCACGTGGCTACTCGTGTCGAATGAAATTTGTTGTTGAAAATGCTCATGGTGGACATGAGAAAACTTACTAGGACCTTGCAACCATGGTTATCATACTTCTCCACGTATTTTACATCTAAGTACATTTAGAATATTCTTTGAAGTCCTTTCTTGAGACCATCAAGTATCATGGCCACTTTTTTATTTCTGTATTTACAGCACACAACACTGCACATGGAAAGGGAAAATAGGAAAATATGGAAAATAAATGGTTTTTTCAGAGAATGTGGACCACTTATGGTGTAGCGCATAGCACAGGTCATTAATTCTCACAATAGAGAAAAACTGAGAAACGCCCCTGGGACCAGGGTTAGAAATAAAATAATAATACTTTTTTGGCTAGCTAAATCATGAAATAAATTTTATCATCTATATGCATTAACACATCTTTACTGTCCTGCTGTTTTTTCAGGGATGACCTAGAATTACTAAAAGGTGGGTAAACAGATAGTTTTTAAACATAATGATAACAGTTCTTTTTATTAGAACTGATAGGTTATCCTGTTTAAATATTCTCATTATTATTGTTATTATTATTATTATTATTATTATTATTATGATCAATTTTAAGAGGTATCTTTCTGACTTAATACTGGGATGATTTACCTTATGAAAACAATTTAATTTTTTAGAGGAACTTCAGACAGAGAAAGAAAGAAAAGAAGTCCAACTACAACAGCTTGAGAGACAGGCTTCTATAGAAAAACAACAAGTCTATGAAGATGCGTTCCTTGAACAAATGAACTACTACATTCAACATGGCAAAACAGAAGGTAATGTTTGTGAAGAATCCTGAATAGAATTCTTGTTTCTTCAAACTTTACTGTAAATTATAATTTGTTTTAAGCTACTGAATAACATTGTCAAAAAAACGTCTTTGAGTTTTGGGCTTGATTTTGTAAGGGATATGTGCAGGTTCAGACAATTTTTGCCACTGTACATGTACTGTAAAAATGTCACAAAGAAAATTTCACATCATGCCATGACTGCAGATGCTCTTGTTGCTGTTACTCTCATTTCCCTCTGACACACCCTAACCCATTCCTGACGTTAATCACTTTCACAGTAATGCCCACTAAGAAGTCTAAGGTTCAAACTTGTCTTGACATTATGGGATGTTATGTAGTAGAAGTAAAATTGTTCTTTGTGGGCTTCCCTCGGCTGCCTGTACCTATTAGTGTGTAAAATGACTGAAAGATTACTTTTACTTGTATTACCATGCTTAAGAACCAATCAGCTTGCTGCATAGACGGAGTACTGGATCCTTAGATGATATCATGTTTGAGGATGACACAGACCTGCATAAAAAAGAACTGGATGATTTTTTTGGCCCAGAGGCTGAGGTTAGTTAAATAGTTGGTTAATCAGACCAGCAGCCTGTTTTTCCCCATTTTTTTATGAAGGTGAAATTACATGAGTGTAACAAACTAAGCAAGAAATGAGAAATCATCACTTTATCAGCTCATGATGGAGCTGTCACTAAGATTTCTTGTCACTGGGCATATGCCCTCAGTGGAGAACTGTTCAAAAAGCTAGGAAGTTTCTTAGGGTCTATTTTCCTTTTGTTCCTATGAAAGTACGCATGGCAGTCATGCTCATAGTACCAGGGAAAATCCCCTGCCCCCCATCCCCTGGTGACAACCCTGTCATGAGCTTACTGATCTGGGCCAACTTCAGCTTTAATCCTTGGTTATCTGTTCATAGGGTATATGAATTATCATATTTGTAAATTACTCAGGATTAGTGCTTCCAGCCCAGAAGAAGAAAGAATGACTGCTTGAAGTTTACTGAGTCGTCTAGTGATAATGATTTTTTTTTTAAATTGAATTACACTACAATGGGCGACAAAATTGTTGACACTGTCCTCGTGAAACATAGGGTAACTTCGGAGAACAAAACAATCCACACCCCTTCCCTCAATTCAAAGTTGGGGTGATTTTTGTTTTCTACACGGGTAGCTGGAACAGCGGTACAACATTGCAAATAAGGGATGGGGGATGGAAAGCTCCATTGTAGCTTTTGAAGTTGGCAAAACGTCAGAAAAGCCCCTCAGGGCAAAGTTTTTCAACTAATTTTGTTGCTGTTGTAGCTACACCTTTTTGTCGTTGTTTGGTTTTAGTCCAGTGAGGCACTCACAATAGGAGATAAGGACCAAATTAATGTGTTCTCATCTGAGGATGATGAATTACTGAATGATCGTGATAAACAATCAACTTCACAAGACACAACAGTAACGGAGACAGCTGAAGAAATCAAGGTATTCTGATAAGTAATAATAATTAAGTGATAACATCCTGTCCTTGCTTGAATCTCTCAATTCATCCCCTATGCCCGTTTTCAACATAAAATTTATTCTTGTAATGTCAGTGCTTATTTGGATTGGGTGGTCACATGAATTAAGAATACATGATCATGGTGATGCATGTTTTTTTTTTAAGCTATATTTTACAGATATAGGGAGTGGGGTGTGAAGACCATTTTTATTTTTAGAAGCAAAGTGACATTTAAGCAGCAAAGGGACATTAAAATTTAGCACATAACCTTTATTCTCAAATCAGCTTGGTACTGACCACTTTACCCTACATGTATTGCAGCACAGATTAGTTAGAGAGGTGGTATTACATAAAAGTCATTAGAGCACATTATTCTTACCACCTTTTCTTTAAATAAATGAGGAGAGATATACTTACTTATGATTATCCATGGTTGGCTCAAATCAAAGTCATCAAGGCCTGATTTTAAAAAAAGTTGATGGTAGATGCATGTTCTTTTTCATTTTGTCATGCACTGAATATTATTGTTGTTGTAATGTGAACTGAAGTGCTTTAAAGGAGTGCTATGTTCTTATGGAGAATTGTATTGCCTATTTGAGTTAATTTGAAATGGGCATTTCAGATTAACTATTTCATGAAAAAATTGTTCTGTTTTTAGAAGGACGTGAGGAAAGGTGAAGAATCTTGAATTTCTTAAGGATGTCTTCCCAGATGGAAATGTAATTCATACAAATGGAAAGATAATTACAAGAAAGAAAAGGATAAAGAAAGAAGAAAGCTTTTGCTCACATTATCCTGTTGTTTAAAACTAGACTGAGTTACTTGATATATTTGGAGAGAGGTTGAAAGCAAGAATTTTGTCATGTTATTTGTCACAAACCTTTCCTTTAAGGATGGAGTTTCAATGTAATAACTGTTAATATTTGTGATTGTCACCCTGATGGATATTTTTAAGGGCAAAAAATTATCTTATTATATTTTTCAAAGATGTAGTCTTTGATAATTGGAAGGTTGTTGGTGACATTCAGTTGTTCCAAAGCTGGATAGCGCTATCCAGCAGATAAATCACTATCCAGTGGATAGGGAAATTGGTTTCCCTAATACTTATCCACTGGATAGTAATTTATCTGGCCCCAGTTGTTCAATCGCTGGATAGTGCTATCCAGCCGATAAATCACTATCCGGCGGATAAAGCAATTGTTTCCCGTAAGACGTATCCGCTGGATAGAGATTTATCTGGTGGATAGCACTATCCAGCTTTTGAACAACCTGGGCCTGGTGGATAGCATGATCCAACTTTTGTGTCAACTATGTGTTGAAGCATCTCATGCCCTTGCAAACTAGTATGGGTAGTTAGTTAAAGGGGTTATGTCATCAGTATATTGCTAGTTTAATTTAGCTCAATTCTGAGGTGAAGTCCAGTGATTTTGTTACCGCTGTGTCCTGCATCCCAGACACATAAAAATCCCCAAAGATGAAAAATAATCCATTGCATGCGTCTTGTAGGACGCAAAGAACGATCAATCGATTTGAAGATTTTTTTGTAGAATATCCTGTTCATGTGATTTCTATGGCTGTTGTTTAAAGATGCATATTTATTTTAGTCTTTTTTGTGCTTTTAATATATGGGACTTTATTTTAATTTCACTAAACTATAATAAAGAGTTTTGGCGTGTGTCTCCAGTTTAACTATCTGTCTACATAAAGGCCCAAGCATTTTCAATTTTGGACTCCTTGTTTTTTGGAACTGGGACTCATTGGTT